TGCTGGCAACTGAATGCCAGTAATTGTCAGGGTTAGGTATTGGCCACTCTCTCTGGCTGGCACTGGCACACTGACCAAACAGGTTGTGGAGGATTTGTCTGGGCTCGAATTGGTCAAACATATGGTGTCTGAACCTGCTGACTTGGCTAAAGAAACCCAAATATTTGTTTAGGTTGATCTATAGGCACGTCTGCACTGCAAAAGCAAGCAAGCAAAACTATCAAGCACCAATATATCGTTTAATCTAACTCCATGTTTTTTTCAGCTACTCTTGGCAAAAGGCTTTTCTATGTATTTGAATTTCCAAGTTGACCTTCAGCTTTTGTGTTTTCCCAAATTTGTTCAGGGACTGGCCAGCTATAAGGCACTAAATTGTCCTGTCTACACTCAATTTTGCAAATCTGGATATCTTGGGATTCTTTTTAACATGATGGACACCACACATTTGCCAAAAGAGCTGTACGATATCAATGATTTTTACGGTTTTAACATTGACATAATACCCAGGGTTTGCAGTTTTTGCAGGTTGGGCAGAGTATGTCAGGCATGAACCATAGTCCTTCTGTGTGGCTCATGCCTGTGTGCTCATTTCCCTGCTTGTGGAATTGTCAGTGTGCTCTTGTATGATACGGCTTCATGTTCTTAACTGGAAGCCACTTAGGTCCTGCACCTGTGGAAACACAAACAAACTCTTTGCCCCAGGTTATTAGTCGAAAAGGGCCTTCAGTTTGTCCTGTCTCAGGGTTTCTAACTAAAACCAGAGGATTTTCTTGCATTTTTGCCTGTGTGTTATTTGAAAAATGCCTAAAAATTGGTGGATTGGTTCTGCAAATCAGCTGTTTAAAAAATTAAAAACATATAGAGCTTTGCTCAGCCTCATCTGAGGTATGGCTTGGGCCATTTCCCCCTTCTGTTGGTCTAAAATGCATTTTTAAAGCATGACATGTCCATTCAATAATGGTGTGACTTGTGGGAGCATAGGAAATTCCAAAAGTGTGATGAACACCCCAATCCATTAAAAATGTGGCCAGTTATTGAGATGTATATGTGGGGCCATTGTCTGTTTTATTTCTTGGGGTATATCTAATGAAGCCAAAGCTTGTAGAAAATATTGACAAGCATGATTGGCTGTTTCTTCTGTCTGGACAGAGCAAAAACTGCACCTGAAAAAGTATCTACTGATACATGAATATTTTTAAATTTCCAAAAAGATGGGTATTTGGTGGTATCTGTCTGCCATAGCTGTAGGTTTTGCAGCCCTTGTGAGCTGACAACTCCTGTAGAAACAGGAGGTTGTACAAGTTGACAATCAGGGCAAGCGCCAATAATGGCTTTCACTTGATCTTTAGAGATGCGAAACATTCACACAAGTGCTTGTGTATTTTGATGGGAAAAGGCATGACTCAGTTGTGCTTGTTCAAAAATGTTTGGCAAAGTGTTTGAAACGACCTTCGACCTTCGTCAGTTTGTCGGTTCTTGTGTTTCCTTCTGCCATGAATCCTGGGAGCAAGGAATGAGCCCTGATATGAGACAAAATAGTGGTCAGTTCTGTACTGCAAAATTGTATAACAACATGAAAGCCAGTGATACAGGGTATAATTTTTAACATCCTTTAAAATTGATCTTTCCGTTTTTTTAACAATACCAGCAACATAAGATGAATTTGTAATTAAGTTAAAAGGTTCTGAAAAGAGCTGAAACACCTTAACTACTGCAGCCAATTCAGCAAGCTGAGGAGAGCCTTCTACTGTTTGAACATCTGACTCCCATGTTTTGGTTGTTTGATTCTGCCATACTATTACTGATCTGTGTGTTTCCCATCCATCAGAGCAGAGAGTTAGAGCACTTAAAGGCTCCTTACTTAGCCTTTTCTCCAAAACTTAATTTTGCTTGCAACCATTTGTGGCTTGGGTATTGAATAGAACAAACATCTGAATAATTTAACAATGCAATTTGCAAGTCTTTTGAATTTTGCAAAGTCCAATCAAGGTAATCTCTTTTCACAGGTAAATAAATAATTACAAAATCTTGGCCTGCCGTAGTTAGCAATCTTGTTCTGGCTCTAATTATCATTTGAGCTGTCATCTCCACGGTTGTATGCTGGAGGTGTTTTTTCACAAATGGGATGGGACTGCCATCACAAGCTTTTATTTTGGACACCAGTCTCAGCTACAGATACAGGAGATGGCAAAAGCTCACATCTACTACAAGCAGCTCAAGATCTCTTTGTTACAGAACATTTTATATGTTTTTCAACCAATAGCATATTGCTAAAGCTTACAGACAACTGTTCAATCCAATCACTAGAAGCACATGTACACCTTCAAACAATGCTTGCTTGTTTGCTTTTTATTAACAATACACAATACTCTGTTACTAAGCTTAAAACTTTTACTATCTTGATAAGCATATTTTTCTGCAGTCTTAAGGTCTATGTCGGCCAAACCTAAAAACTCAACTATTGTTTCTTTCCTTGCATATTGTATTATTGTATCTTCCTTACTTTCAGGCCTTGCAGCTGTAAGTTCTCAGCTTTTTCTTTTCTATGGCTTATTTTCATGGCTTCTGAAACTCTTCTTACCTTTACTGTTTCCCACAATTCCCCCTCTTGGTACAACCACAAAGAAGCTTTCTTAACTATGTCGCTTATTGACTACCTTGTAGTGTTACATAGCTCTACTACAGTACTTTTATCTAGCAGACTAGTGTTACAAATTTTCTCTGTAAAGGCACATCAGCAAAACTTAAAAGTCTTTTAATACTTAATGTATTTATTTTTGCTTCTTTAAGGCACTTCTCTAGCTTGCTTTAAGCACTATTATTTTAAACCACAGCAGTTTTAATACTGTAAAAAATCTGGTCTATTCCAAGGACATAAATTGAATCTAGTAGCAATTGTCATTTCTTATTCAAATAAGTCTCATCCATTCCAGGGTCTCATTTCAAAGCCTTCATCTATATCTATACTTGTATCTACTACCTTTGTAAGATTTTGAGAACTTTCTGTGACTCCTTGTATGATAAAAACTTCTTTGACAGCTTTGTTCATCATTCATTGAACACACTGAAGCATACAAGGCATTATCACTAATATCACCACAACAACAATTAATACATACAAACCTGTTTTGCAAAGCTCCTTTAACTAAGGTGCAAAGTTCCATCCTTCAAACAAATGGTCTAACTACAATTCATCTCTTCTAATTTGAGATGCTAAATCATTCAGCTTTTGTATGCTTTTGTGGATAGACTCAGAGTGGTCAGACAAGCTCATACAACAGTCCTTCAAACTCCTCACAACTGTGTCCATGTGCCAGTAAAAGAAAATCAATTGCTGCTCTGTTTTGAAGGGTAGCATGTCTAACACTGCTAATATCAGTCAACATATCACTGATTGCAATGGATGTGGCATTGATCTGCCTACTCAGACAAGATCCTACCCTATCTAAATGTTTCAATGCCATTCCTGAGGCAAGCTGGGGTAGTAGCAAAGCTGCCAAAACTCTTTGTGCAGTTTACCAGAGTCTAAAATCACTCCAACAATTTTCATCATACCAATGGACAAATCTTTTTCCTCTATGTTTTTTCTTAATAACACTTTGAGCACTGGATGCTAGCGCAGTGAGTTGTCCAATGCTGCATGGACCACGTTCAAGGCATGATGGAATACTCTGCCAAGCCCTATCTCCACAAATGAACCACTATCCTTTTGGTAATTATCATGGATATTGGTCAGTCCTGGAAAATTTACCCCAACTGTCTGAGTGCTTACACCAAAAACTGGAGTTCCTAAAAGTAACTGGGTAATTGGGAGTGACATTGCACTTCGGAGAATCATTCTCCAATTCTGAGAATGCCAAAATTAGCTAGCCAATTGCCAATTGCCAATTGCTAGCTGAAAAGTGAGACAAAAATCCATAGTCAAAGAACCAAGAATTTCCAATTCTTGGGGTTCAGATTTTGCTTTTGGAAGTTCTTTGGTCCAAATGTCCCAGTCACTCACAGGATTGCTCCTGTTAGCAACCTCACCTAGCTTGCTATTAAGTTGTTTTTTGGTCAAGGGACCATAATATATGGGTATTGGCCAATCTTTTACTAGCACACCAACTAGACAGGTTGAAAAGGGCTTTTCTGGATTCAGGACAGGCATACAGTGTCTGAGCCTGCAACCTCGGCTAAGCCAACCCAAACATTTGTTTTTGGTTGTTCTACAGGCAAATCTGCACTGCATAGAACAAGCAAGACCAGCAAGTACCAGCATAATACTTGATTTTGCTCCATACTTTTTGTGAGCTATTTTTTGGCAAAAGACCTTTCCATGTATCTTAATTCCCAAATTCTACTTTTGTACTTTCCCAAATTTGCTTGGGGACTAGCTACCTGTAAGAAAAAAAAGGGGTAATTTCACCTTTGCAAATTCACTGAGGGGATATACTCTCTATATTACGAAAATACCACACTTTTGCCAAAAGAGCTCTACAAAATCAACAATTTACACATTTTTCACAATGACATAAAAATCAGGGTTGGCAGGTTCCACAGGTGAACAAGAGATGTCAGGTGGGTCTTGTGGGCTCTCCATTTGGCTCACGTCTGTGTGCTTGTTTTTCTGCTCTTGGACTCTGTTGTAGTATGTTTATTCAGTTCTGTTAAAATTGTTAGTGTTTTGTCTGTTTGGTATGTTCCTGGTTCTCCCCCATTTACTGCTTTGGTTGGTTCCATTTGTCTGTTATGTAAACCCCACCCAGTTTTCCTGAATGTTCCTGGTCTATCACCTTTGCCCTGCCCCATCTCCCCATCCATCATCGTAAACCCCACCTCTCCTTCCAGCTCCTTCCATGTATATCATCCCTTCCTTGACATGTTATGTTATGTTATGATATGATATGATATGATATGATATGATATGATATGATATGATATGATATGATATGATATGATATGATATGATATGATATGATATGATATGATATGATATGATATGATATGATATGATATGATATGATATGATATGATACGCTATGTTCCCGCCTTCTTTGTATCCCCATTGGTCCCTGATATTGTAACCCTCCTCCCCTTACCCCTCCCTTCGTGAGCTCCCATTGGACCCTGGACTGTGCCTGCCCTGGAGATAAAACCCAGTGCACAGAGGTGCTCTGGGCTCTCTTCGGTGCTGTTTTGTCCCAGCCCAGACCTTTGTGTTCATTCCCTGTCCCAAATAAACCTGTTCCTGGGAAGTACAGCCGAGTGAATCTCCTCCATCCTTTTGCCACCACCCACAATGCCTGATCTGGCAGAGCCCGGCAGGACTCAGTGCTCTGAAGGTTCTGCAGTGGGATCGCCTTTCCCCTGCAGTTCCCCACTCCTGGCGACTTCCCGTGCCGGAGTGGCACTGTAGAGCTACCCTGGAGTTCTGGTGTGGCCAAGAGCAGCGTCAGGACTCATCAGCGCATTCTCATGTGTAATATGGTTTGATGTTCTTTGCTGGAACTCACTTAGGTCTGGCACCTGTGGAGACACAGGTTAGTAGTCAAAAAGGGCTTTCAATTTGTCCTGTCTCAGGGTTTCTAATTAAAACATGAGGATTTTCTTCCAATTTTGCCTGTATGTTATTTGAAAAATGCCTAAAAATTGGTGGATCAGGTTCTGCAAAAGAGCTGTTCAAGAAATTAAAAATATATAAAGCTTTGCGCAGACTCATCTGTGGTGTCACCTCTACTGCCCCCTTCTGTTGATCTATAATGCATTTTAGGGTACGATGTGCTTTCAATAACTGCTTGGCTTGTGGGGGAGCAGGGAATCCCAAAAGCCCGGCAAACACCCCAGTCCATCAAAAATGTGGCAAATTTTTGGGCTACGTGTGCAGGGCCATTGTCTGTTTTTACTTCTTGGGGTACTCCTAGTCAAGCGAATGCTTGAAGAAAGTGTTGACAGGCATGATTGGCTGTTTCTCCCACGTGAACAGAAGCAAAAACTGCACCTGAAAAGCTGTCAATTGATACATGAATACTTTTAAATTTCCCAAAGGAAGGGTACTTAGTGATGTCTGTTTGCCATAACTGCAGTCTTTGCCCATGGGTTGGCAGCTCCTGTAGAAACAGGGGGCTGCACAACCTGACAGTCAGGGCAAGTACTAATAATGGCTTTAGCTAGACTTTTGGAGATGTGAAACATCCGCACAAGTGCTTGTGCATTTTGGTGAAAGAAGGCATGACTTACTTTTGCTTGTTCAAAAATGTTCGGCAAAGTATTAGAAACAACCATTGTCAGCTTATCCGCTCTTGTGTTTCCTTCTGCTAAAAATCCTGGAAGTGAAGAATGAGCACTAATATGAGAAGCAAAATATGGATTAGTTCTCTATTGTAAAATTGCATTAAAGCTTGAAAGCCAACAATACAAGGTATAATTTCCAACACCTTTAAAAACTGATCCTTCTATTTTTTAACTACATTAGCAACATAATCAGAATCTGTAATTAAATTGAAAGGTTCTGGAAAAAGCTGAAAGGCCCTGACTACAGCGGCTAATTCAGTAATTAGAGGAGATCACCTCACTGTTTGAATATCTGATTCATGTTTTAGTTGTTTGATTTAGCCATACTCTTACTGATTTGTGTGTTTTCCCTGATCCATCAGTGCAGAGTCTTATAGCACTTAAAGGCTCTGCACTCAGCATGGTTTTTCTCTAAAACTCAGTTTTACTTGCAACAATTTATGGGCTGGGTAATGAATAGAACAAACACCTGAGAAATTCAGCAATGCATTTTGCAAATCATCTGAATTTTGCAATGCCTAATCCAGGTAGTCTTTTTTCAGAGCCAAATAAATAACTGAAAAGTCTTGGCCTGCTAAGGTTAATAATCTTGTTCTGGCTGTAATTCTAATGTGTGCTGTCATCTCCATAGATGTAAGAATTGTCTTTGGGGACCTGTAAGGAAGAAACACCCATTCCATTATTAACAAAAGATCTCTTTCAGAAGGGTCCCATTGAAAAATGAGACCATAAAGTTGCAATTTATTCCCAAAACTGCAAGGAAAAAGGGCTTTTCTGGAGCAAATTGATGGGCTTGTCTCCTTCGGAAAGCTTCTGTGTCCTTTTCAAGTGCTGCTTGAGCTTCAGGTGTTAGAGTTCTAGGAGATTTGATGTCATCATCTCCTCTTAATAAGTCAAAGAGTTGGATAAGTTCATCATTAGTAATTTCCAAAATAGATCTGATGCAATTAATCTCTCCCAAAAGCTGTTGTAAATCCAAGGGGTTGACACTGGTCCGGAGTTGTATTTTCTGTGGAGTAATTGTTTAGTCATCCTCCATCCCACATATTACAAGGGTGGGACTTCTTGAATTTTGGATGTAGAAGTTTTCAGTCCAGCTGTTTGAATTTTGGTAACAATTCTTTCAATTTCTGTTCATGTTGGTGCTGCAATAAGCAAGTCTTCCTAATCGTCCACTAAATGTAGTGTAGAATCATAGATTGTGGGTGTTTCTGTCAAGCTGGAGACAGAGCTTGTGCAACAAAATATTGGCAAATGGGGGAGAATTTTTCATCTCTTGAGGCAAAGATTTCCAGTGATATCTTGGCAGTGGTTTTCCTCTATGGATAGATGGAACCAAAAAAAGAAAACCTCGGTGCATCCTCTGGATGGAGTGGAATGTTGAAAAAACAATCCTTTAAACTGATGATAATGAGAGACCAGTCTCTTGGAATCAACAAGACAGAGAGGAGAGTCCAGGTTGCAAGGACCTGGGCATGATGTGACCTTTTTTGTAATTGTTCATTTACTAATTTTTTGAGGGCACTTAGTTTTTTCTCTGCTAGAGAGATTCACCCAGACAGGGTTGTCAGTTTTCCATGACAGAGTGGCAGGTTCCACCATGGCTCCTATAAAAAAACTTACTTCTATTTTTGTTCCCCACTGGGACAGTACATCTCTCCACCATACTGTGATGGGTGTCTGCACCACAAAGGGACAGATGTTTACTGTCTTCCCTTCAGGACTTGTATCAGTAATAACGAATTCACTTTGCGTACATGGTGTGATTCCTCCAGTTCCTGAGAGAGCATCCATGGGTGTCACTAGGCTCCAATTGCTCGGCCAAAACACATGAGAAATTAATGTGACATCTGTGCCAGTGTCCAGCATGCCTGTCGTGTTAACTGTTTTACCATGATGTGTCAGACTGCAAGTCAGCTGTGGCTGTTCACTGCTGATATGTTCTACCCAAAGGACATCAGGTGTTGGGCAAAGGCTCTCAAGAGGCATTTCCCAGTGTACAGCTCGCTTAGTTAAAAGCGGAGTCTCTCGATATATGTCTTGTTTAGCTATAGTCATGGACAATGTAATAGCAATACCTGTTAGTATTTTTGGTTGAATTATCACTGGAGCCCTATAAGCAAGAGCTAAAACCATCATCTCTTCGTTACAATTTACTGAAACAACAGCTGGAAAAACTGAAAGTCCAATAATTATGTTCCTGTCTCACACTATAATTAAAAAGTCTGTCTCTGCTGTGAAGTACCAGTAACTCCTGCAGGGGGTATAAATTCATGGCAAGAGTCTTTTTAAAAGTATGTTAATTTAGAAGTTGCCAGTTTACATCGTGCCTCTGGGGGTAATAAGTCGGGGTTGCTTAGGAGATAACTGGCAATTTCACAAATTGCACTCGGTTTGAGTTTTCTTGTGATTGAGCTGCCATTATTTGTTTCACCACGCGGTGGCACAGCGCGCTCTTTTTTTTTTTTTTTTTTGGGTTTCACGGCAGAGGGGTACCATCCATGTCAGCTTTGGAGCGACAGTGATTCGCATGGTGCCTCCGTTTTCTGCACCGAAGGCAAATGTTAGGTAATTTTGCATTTTTCACTGACTCATGACAGCTCTTTTTCAAATTTCAAATTTTCCACAGTTAAAATATGGCCCTTTAATGGGCTCCATCTATAAAACAGTGAGAGTTTTTTCCATCATTTTTATCTGAGTTTCAATGGCTCTTTTGAGTTTATCTCCCAGCAAATCTTGGGATTTTGCTAATTGTTCCCGCAGTGCACTCGCTTGTATGGTCGCGATATGCTGTGGAGTGCCCAGCTTTCTGCAAGCATTTGTGGCACTGTTGGTGGCTGTTCTGGTAAAGTTAGAATGACCGTAGGGCATTCATCATTTGTTTTAGCGTATGAGGATGTGCGGCTCCATCAGGACACTGAACTAGAACCTCCGAACTAGAACCTGTGTCCCGCTCAATTACCACATCAACAAGATTGCAAATCACGGTTGTTTTGTTGGTTTTTTTTTTTTCTCACATTCCTCCCTTTTAAAGCAGCCAGAGCCTTTTGTAGCGTTAATAGAGCAGCCCCCCTCCTTTCCGCCGACAGAGCTTTCCTCTTCCTCCTTTCTAAAGGCAGCGGAGGGAGCGCTCTTTCCGCAAGAAGCAGCAATTTCGGCCTCTGTTCTCTTTAAATGGGTGACTGAAGGCAGAGGTGCAGAGACGCCGGGCGGGGGTCAGGGTGAGCAGGGCCGGGGAGACGGCGGAGGTGCCGCGGCCCCGTTCGGGGTTTCAGTGTCTCCGGTTAGGACCGAAGGTGGGAGAGGTTTTGAGGGCACGGCCCGAAGCCCGGAGGAATCGGACGCGATCAAGGAAGCAGTGGGCTCCATTGTTTGTTTAAACATATCAGTCAAAGCGCGACATGCAGGCAACAGCTTTGCAGCTGAATGGTCCCGATTTATGGTAAAAGCATTGCATAATTTGAGTCCAACCAAATCTCATAGAGAAAAGGTGAGTACACCTACAGTTGGAAAGTGCTTTTGAACCCAAGATAACAAACCTTTTAACTCTTGTTTTGGACTGTTACAGGAATTAGATCTGATCAGAGTCTTAAGGGCCTTACAAACATCTTTGGGCTCTTTGGACATCTTGTCCCCGATCATGTTCCCCAAAGCCTACCTGTCGTCATGCAGCAGGTGATAGCATCGGCCTCCGTCCGGGTCGAACCCGCAGCGGAGACAGAGGTGTCCCGACTGCTCCTTCCTTACAGGAGAACTGTAAATCCCTAGGGTAATTCCCCCTTCCTTGCAGCAGCACTCTCCAGAAAAAGTTTTGGGCCGTTCCAGCCGCTCGACAAATTAGCTGAAATCGCGTTCCTCAAAACAGAAGCACCATTTGTTGGAAGATCGCAGCTCTACAGAGATGGGGCAACTGAGAGGTGCTTTAAAAGATTTTATTTCATTATCAGTCTTATAGAAGGGTGAAACATAAGAGATGTAAAACTCAACGCCATTCTATCAGCAGCCAGCCTATTTCCTGGTTACAATACCTTATAAATGTTTTTCAGCTTATAAATGTTTGTGTTAGCTTTTGCCACACAATGCTGCAAACACTTCTAACACAAATCACCTACTATTTTACCCCAAGTGGTCTAGCTACAACGCATCTTTCACAGTTCTGATTCTCCAAAATACCTGGGTCTTGTTTGCAAGGCCATTGTCTGAAACTTGTTTCCAGTTCAATCTCCTTCTCAACAACATCTTCTCTATTCCATGGCCTAGCTAAATCAGCACACCTTATCTCACAGTTTGCATACAGACACACAAGACTACTCAAGCTTTCAGTCATGCTTTGACAATCCTCTGCAGTTCCATTTCTCACAATGTATGGTTGATAGCATTTAGAAAACACTAAGAAAAACATTCAACTTTTCCCAAGAAGTATTATTTTTCAGAATTGTAGGCAAGGACAAACCCATTTTCACAGCAGTGACATATTAAATTACTGAAACATGCTCAGAAAAAGAAGCACTCTGACACCCAGCCAATCTTAGGCTCATTGTTTGAAAAATGTTAAATGACAAAATCCAGCCATCACATTCAGTGCATGTGGAGGTAGGAGGGGACATGGAATGAAGGAGTGGGAGTATAGAAATAGAAGACTGGGAGTATAGAAATATAGGAGTTAGAGTAAATAGAATAAACTGTCCTTGTTCTAAGCTGGTTTTTATTTGATGGTACCTAAGAATTGCATAAACAGATTATTTGATCAACAAGTAAGGGATTTTTTTTCTGCTGTATTTCAATGGCAATAATGTCACAATCTGGAAGTAGATTATTCTTTTCTCACTCATTTTTCCACTGTTCTGTTCAGTATCATTTCATGGCTTTTCCCCCCTGCTTTCAGCTTAAACACACAGTTTCAGTTTGGTCTAGAGAAGTCATAAATAAATCTTTGTACTGGTAGAGAAAAACATCAAAGAGGAATCCAATCCAGTGCAATCCCTAGTACAAATACAGGCTGGGCAGAGAGTGGATCAAGACTAGCCCTGCCAAGAAGGACTTGGTGGTGCTGGTGAATGAGCAGCTGGACATGACCCAGCAATGTGCACTTGCAGCCCAGAGCAAGCAACTGTGTCTATCCCTTCCAACCCAAACCATTTTATGATTCTGTAATTCTAGGAATGACATTTCTGTGTGTTCTCCAACATGTATTAACTGCTGAATATAAACTCACTGAATGCAAAACCTTTTGGTATATTTTATGTAATGTTATTTATAGATCACTTTCTTTACATTGTTGATTACTGACAGCCTGCAAATTCTGATCTCCAGCTTGAAAGGAACACTACAGGTACAAACCATACTGACATTGTATCTAATGCAGTTTAAAGGTATAATGACATGGCAATGCTGGAATTTTTAGCCATTATTTAAATTATTGTTGGATGTAGTGCCTGCTCATTTTACACTACATGTAAAAAGTGAAAAGTCTAACAAAGCCTCAAGTTTTACTGTGGCACATGGACAAATGCACCCATGCTGTATGTGGTGTGTTGATCTTGGCTGGATGCCGAACATCCACCCAACCCAGGTGCTCTTTCACTACTCTTCCACACAACAAGGGAAAATAAAATATGATTGAAAAGCTCATAGGCTGAGATAAAGACAGAGCGACAGCTTACTAATTATTGTCATAGGTGAAACAGACTCATCTTGAGAAAGATTAATTTTCTTTGTGGTAAGAATCAAAGACACTTACCTACTCCTTTTCTTCCCAGTCTCAACTTCACTCCTTCATCCCAAACTCCTCTTCCTCCTCCTGTGTAAAGTTATGTGAGGCAGTACCAGTGCCTGTATGATTATTGGGAAAATGTTAAGTCGTAGAGGATTCTCAGTCTTGAAAGATTTTGAAGTTTCTGAAAACTGAGAACAAATTCAAAAATATTGTTTCTAATCATGCAGGAGGAGCAAGGCTAGGACAAAGAGGTTATTCTCTATCACCCCATATCATTGACAGGGCAGGACAAAGGGACTCTCTTCTGGCAAGACGGGGTTTCTTCCAATTGAGAAAATGTAGCAGAAGCCACCCTATGTTGTTTATTGTCGCATGGTCTGCAGTGAGCATTTTTGTGATGTGACTCACTCTCTTTTGTACAGTACTATTAATAATAATGTTGCTATTACTGTTCATTTTCTTATCTCATTGCTGTAAATTCCTCCTAACACATGATCTTCGCCTTTTGTGCCTCCAGCTGGATGGAAGGGAAGGGGAGATGCATATTTTTTTTAAGTGGGAATACTAAATTGGGGGATACCACCTCTAATCCAGGACTACTTATGTCTTTAAAGATAACTTCTTATCTCTGTAACAGAATCAAATGGGAATGGAACAGCATTCCCTGAGACAGTATAGAGTAATTGGTAGTGAAAGTCAATACTGCCCACTGTATTTCTAGCCAGGTCAGAGGAGCAAAGCAAACTTAGAAATATAGTGAGTGAAACATTTACAGAGCAAACAACAGTAACACCTGATTTTTTATATAAAGTCTTTTTGGACAATGAGGTATATGCAATTGCCATCACAGTTATAAGAGATCATACTGCTAATGACTCAGTGCTTACCCCAAAGAGCACATGAGAATATCTTACACTGAGGAGTAAATAGAATTTATATTAATTTCCTGAGTGATGGTTTCATTTGAAAAAAAAAAAATACAGTGAGAGAAAGCAAAGCTAGAGCTGGGAAGATGCATGTATAGATATGCAAATTTGCAATCCTAAGAGAGGGAAAGAGCAGTAAGGCAGGAATGAATCAAAGCACCTGAAAAGTGGTTTGAATGAAATGGCTCTTGTCATGAGAAAGTAGGTAACAGCATGACATCATTCCACTGCCACAACATGACATCATTGTGAAGACTACACTGATACTGTTGATCCAAGATCAAACGTTCTCCTCTGACATGTTTCAAAAACTCCAAGAGAAGGGATGCCTATTTGGAACCGTATTTGCTTAATGATCTTCCATCATATTTACAGATAGGTTTTCTAACTTTAGGTTTTACTAATCAAACTAATTGACAGACTAGCATTCAATTTTGTGGAAAATCGATGGCTTTAGGATGATGTGGATTTTTTTCAGGGAGGTAATAAAAACTGTTCAACTTTCATTTTTACTCATGTCTGTTAATTATATTACTTTCTTGACTCAAATTGCTCAAAGTTATTATCCATGTTGATGATGCTATTGTAATTTATTGTACAGAGAAAATGCCTTTCTGTACTACCAAAATAGGAATGCAAGCATTTAACATTAAATCACTGTGCTCAACTGTGTTCACACATGCTCTTGAACAGCAGAAAGATGCTGAATTGGAGGTTTTAGACAATATTTGGTTAATATTGGGTAGATAATTCAATTGATCTAAGTAACTATTTAGTTTCCAAAGAAACAAATATTAGTTAAAAGTTTGATAAAGTACCGTAGAAATGGATTCTAAAGAAGACCGGGACCTGGGGCAGTGAGTCCTGATGAATTCCTGTGTCCCCTACATGGTGAATAAACAGCCCATGAGCAAACACGTTAGGCTGGAACAGCAAAAAAGCACCCGACCATTCAAGCAACCAGATATTAGATTCTTCTTCCAGCAGTGGAAGCTAAAATGGTTTCCTATAAATTGGAGCTCCATGTATTTATGAAGCTGGTTACACTGAATCCCCAAAAGGATTGCACAAAGTTTACTAATTTGCTTCGGGAGTGGAAGCTGTGAGTTCGAATCCCGGGTCAGAGTCTGCAGCTAGTAGCTTTTTCTCAGCGGTTTTTCTAAGTAAGATCATGGTGTGTGTATCTTCCAGCGAAGGCATGCACATAGCCCGTGATTCCGTTAGATTTGATATTAAAACATTGGCATTCCCTGACAGGCAGGAGAACGCCTCTCATCATGGAAGAACTACCTCCACTCTGTACAGAAATCTGTCTGATGCAAAAAATTAGGAAGGGGAGGGACGTGGTCTCACTTTGGCAACCTAGAAAGTGAATAGTAGAATTATTATCAGAACTTCGGTCTCAGAGAAAATGGCAAGAATTAAGATATGCAGAGCTATTTGCAACATTCTTAAACAGATCAGAGGCATTCGAATATGAAAAAGTCTTCTTTTGCGATGGTTTTAAGAAGAAAGACAAAGACTCAGAAGGAGGAGCCTCTTGTTAGCCTGGTCTGTGTTGCTAAGTCCGACATGACTGATGTGTGGGCATGGTGGCGTCCGCTCTGCGGCAGGAGGGGGAGCAGCACCCACCCCCTTGCCGCCCCCATTGTCCCTGCCACTGGTGGGGCTGGGGGGGACCTGACACCGCCATCTCTGGCCGCCGCGGCTGTGGTGACAGGAGCGGGGACAGCTGTGGCACGGCCAGCAGCGGCCAGGCCCGGCGGCAGTGAGACGGAGCAGGGCCCGGCCCGGCCCGGCCCGGCCCGGCGGCAGTGA